CTTCTTCTTCATAATATTGGAAACAATTTCGCCACCTTACTGAACAATGTACTACTCCTTCCTACCCTGTTCTGGTTGATGGAGATGCTCCTCTGACATCAGTTGCTAAGGCTTATGTTTTTGGCTCCTACTTAGAAAATCACTTTCACACTCCGGATCAACATCCTTTATATCTTGAAGATACTTCTGATATCTCGCACCGAGTTTTGACCATGATCTCTCCAACTGTCCTCTTAATGAACCCGTTACACTTGTTGATGTTCATTTTTCTCTTCGTGGTCGACCCAATACCGCCCCTGGTCCCAATGGTTTGACTTACTCTCATCTTCGAAATGCTCCATCTCAGTTTTTGCTTCTTTTGGTTGCCTTCTATAATTTTCTCATTCGTTCTGGCTCTTACCCTGCTTCATGGAAGACATCTACAGTTCTCCTCTTTTTAAAACCATCCAAGTCTCCAGTGTCCCTGGCTTCTTACCAACCGATTAGTTTTACAAGTATTTTTAGCAAAACTCTGAGTGGATTCTGGTTCGCAGGCTACACACCCATTTGACTCTGTACAACATTCTTCCCCATTTTCAGGCCGGTTTCCACACACACCCCTTTCCACCATGGATCAGGTTCTCCGATTATCTGATGCCATTACCAATCATTTTAACACATCTTAACCTTCATGTCTTCTTCTTTTTGACTTTGCAAGTGCTTTTGACTCAGTTTAGCATCAGGGTTTGATTTACAAGTTACATTGTCTACACCTTCCTTAGTCGTATATCTTGTTCACTCCTTTCTTCAGAATTGCTCGGCCATGTTCTTTCTTGAAGGGAACACTCCAGGTCGTTTCCCATAGCTCTCTCCACTTCTTTATGTGCTATACGTGTATGACATGCTACTTCCAACTCCTCCAGTTTCACTCTATCAAGCCCCCAGTAGCACAGCGGTATGTCTGCGGATTTACAACGCTAGAATCCGGGTTTCGATACCCGTGGTAGGCAGAGCACAGATAGCCCATTGTGTAGCTTTGTGCTTAACTTCAAAGAAACAAAGAAACAAACACTCTATCAATATGCTGATGACACTGTCCTCCTAGCTACATGTAAAACGGTGATTACTCTTAAAATATTTCTCCAGGCTGCTGTTGATCAATTCATCCACCGAACTCGTCACTGGCGTCTTTTTATCAATGCAGTTAAAACCTGAGCTATTCTGTTTGGTCCTACCCATCACAAATTTCGTCTGTGTCGTGACTCGTCTCTTTTTTATGTCCGTGTTGAGAATATCCCACTCACACTCTCTGATACTGTGAAATACCTGGGGGTCACTTTTGACAAACATCTCACCTGGAATGCTCATTTCAACTCTCTCTGTGGTAAATTTAATCCCCGGTTGAAGCTTCTTCATTCCCTGACAGGTACCTCCTGGGAATTAAACCCTCCACTACTTCTTTTCATGTAAAAAACCTTCATACGGCCTTGTCTTACCTATGGCCATACTGCCTGGGTTTCTGCTTTCTTCCTCCTTTTTGTGTTGGAACGTTATGCTTTACGTTTGGCCCTTCATGTCAAGTTACCTAGTCATACTCGTGACATCTATGCTCGTATTACCTTTTTTCCACTTCTTTTTCACCTCCATGACTCTCCGGGTTCATTATGTCCAGCGTGGTAGTCAAAATGTTATCTTTGCCCCTGCACTTGAGAACCCTCTCCATTATGCTCTGTGTGTCACACCTCCGCTGAAACATCTCTTGAACTTATACGCACTATCCCTTCCTCCTGATGATCCCAAACATATTGACATTCCGCTGTCCGACCTATCACATTATATCTACTCTCCTGATTTTCCGAATCCAGACCAGCATCATTAATGGGAACCTGACTCCACGTTCTCTCATCTCAGCTGCGTTGATACACTTCAATATAAACGTTTGATGATATTTTCATTCATATGTTTCTGACCCTCGTTTTTCTCTTGTTTCACTGCGACATTCCTCCATACACTTTCTCGCCTTTTTGCCCAAATTCACCAATTTTAGTTTCCCTCTTACTCACCTATCTTCTTCTCCTATTTATCTGACACATCATCTGACTGAAGAGAGAGTGTATCCCTCTAGTAGCCCGCCAGTCTTGGACTGGAATGAAATGCATATCTTACTTACTTACTGAAGTTTCATTGGTGGTAGTGTTCAGGGTCACTGATGAGGAGTGGAATTCTCCGAAACTAATCTGGCTCACAGACACACCCCCAATGAAAGAATAGACCATTCCAAGCTTTTACTTGTTGTTAAACAAATGTTTACACAACTCTATTCAATAATGTACAAGCTGCCCAGTGTCGACTAACAATACGAAGAATTAAATTGTGGCGGAA